ATATTCTTGTAGAGGATTGAAAGTTGATGTCCTCGTTACAAGAAATATTCTCCAGGCACTAATGACAAACACTGCTCACAGCCCAAGTCCACTCAGTACTCCCAAGTTTCAGCTCGTATCTTGTCATGCATCTTGTCATGCATATTAAGGCGAATTGATGTCTCCCAGAGGTTGTTGGGTGGCAAAGCCCCCCATCAACCTTCCCTGAGGCAGTGCCAAAGGGCACACCCAGTCACAGCACCTTAGATTGATGAATAGATATTGCGTCATAGTTGGTGATTTATGGCCTGTTTATGAAAATTGTGTGATGTGCGATCCAATGAATATTCATGTATATAGACGTATGTATAGAAATAAATGTATGTTTGTCTAACTATCAGATTATTATACATGTATCTATCTATCTATCCATACAGTAGATATGCATGCTCAAGGACAGTTATTAGTATCATGTGTTGAGCATTTGAATTTGAAGGATAAATTCTATAACCCACAAAACCTGCTGTCTTATGATTGGACACAGATGCACATTGGCATCTAAATAGTCACTTCTATCCACTCCAATCTGATTTGTACAAGATAAGATTTGATTGCATGTTTGAATGTACAGATCAAAATCTTTATTGTGAAAGTTGAAAACTTTTCAGGCATTTCCCTGGAACCTGTGGGAATAAAGGTGCAAGATTGTTTATATATTGAAGTATTTAATAAGTATATATTTATTTATTTATATATATTTTTTTACAGTGGAAATAAAGGATGAGCACAGATAGGATATCATGGAGTCACAAACCAAAGATGAAGTATCAGAGGTAATTGAATACCTTCACTTGAGTCCTCGACTTCAGAGGGGCTCTGTTGGGCCCCAGCATGGGAAAGGAGTAGAAGAAAAAAACTCCTTATCATGGGTAGATGCTGGGCCTCAAAATTCAATACTGAGGACCCACCAGTATCAGTCTTATCCCAATCTGTCAGTAAATGTTCCGTGCTCAATGTTCGGTGATGTGTCAAAGCAATGCTGCATTATCAAAGGTAAAGTATCTAAAAGTCATTAATGATTTATTTTTTGATGAAAATTTATTTGTTACTCTATTGTTTTGATTATCCCAAGTATAGATATTTGACAGTGGCAGTACATGCTCTTGTATAATTTGCAGATTTGAAATATTCATTTCAGAATGCAATTTTAATTATTTGATTATTTGTTGATAATCTTTCAAATAACAGACGATATATTTGATGTTTTTTTTTTGTGAATGTCAAACACAACTTTTGAAATAGAATATTTTTTTACAGCAGTCAGTATATATGATATAGAATGATTTATTTGATGTTGAGAATACGTTTGTGAAGCCATAGGATGTTTTTCAAATCTTAGAGGATGAAACACTATATCAATCATAAAGTAGAGCAGGGTTGTATATACTTTTTGTCTGTAAATGTAAAGAGTTTTGCTTATAAACCTTTTGGTGATTAACATTCTTAATTCATAAACTGCAGTATTAAAAATTAGCTGTAGCTAGTAATGCAGGGTTGTTAGCACACATGGGCAGTTTCCCTCTTTTATGCCCAGCTCATTTAGTAATGCAAACAAGAATATTTGTCTAATAGCTTGTATCTCTATTTCATAAACAGAAGTTTTGAAATATTGAAGGTTTGCCTTCACTTAAAGTGCTTGCATCTAATGGTGACCCCAAACATATGATGTTGCAACTTTTGGAGAAAGATGTGCTATATTTGATGAGCCAGTAGCATGGGCTAATAAAGAAAAAAAAATGAAAGGAGAATTATTGATTTAGAATGACAGTTTCTTGTCCCCCTCCAAAAAAAAGAGAGGGAGAGGGAGAGGAGAGAAGGAGAGGGAGAGGGGAGAAGGGGATGGAAAGAGGAGGGAGAGGGAGAGGAATAAAAGGAGTATTTAATACCATACTAGTACATACATAAAATATGATTAAGTCTTCTTGGCCTGAAGCATGTATGGCTGTATGTGGTGACATGTGCATGCATGCGTGTACACTTTCATGTGCGCATGCATGCATTTGCAATTCTGTGTGTATATGTATGTGTTCATCCGTGTGGGCAGCAATGTCTATAAATATGTCTATTCTTAGCAATGTGGAGATTAGGTTAGGCTTATGTTTCTGCTATAAGGAGCTTGTGTAATAAAGTTGATTTGTTGAGTGAGAATTATGTTACTTTTTTGCAGCTTTTGCAAATGCAAAAGCTGCAGTTGAGAATGGGTGTATTAGTTATTAACCCTATCATGATGGGGCCAGAATTTTCTCTGATGAAATCATTCTGCAACAGTCTTGCCTATCTGGTAGAGTGAGTGCTATGTACAGCCACTCGTTTGCTAGAGCGAGTCATGACGAGTATACATGTCATATATGAGTACGTCATGATGGCTATATTTGTACCTGTCAATAAAGATAAACTCTTTATTGACAATCTTTATTGGGATCTTCCTCTCAGGTCCCCAAATTGGCCTACATTGCTTGTT